TTTAAATAAATGGTGACATATTGTTACGTTCGCCTTGACTGCAGGTGGTCGGTAATTGGGCGTCTCGAGAAGAATATATTGTTGTAAGGCGGGGTTTTGCTTTTCGGATTAATGGTTATCCGATTTGCGAATAATTAAATTAGCATTTAGTTGAGAAATGGATGCAGAGAATATTGTCTGGGGTTTAAGAAATTATTGTTTAGTGTTAATTTCAATTTATAAAGTTATATGGGGCGTTCTAACTATTTTTGGTTCCAAGTTTTGCATGAAATATTTCGGAAAGTAAATATTTAGATTTCTCATTGGTTGTTTATAAGGTCTTGCGTGGTTTTGAATATAAGTTGGAATAATAAAATATATTTGTATATTTTATCGTATGTACATTATCGTATGTTATTCCTCGATAATAATATAGGTATATCTACCTTTCAATATTCAGCACTATGCTTAAAATCTATTGGATATCTGCTGGCTCATTTGTTTTTAACCTCCCGTCCATTAAAGCGACTAATAATATAAAAGGCTTTGGAAATTATGTTCCATATATATATTACTTTGTAATAAAAATTTAATTGCATTATTGATATTTGTTTCATATGTTATTACGCACCATCCATCCATCCATCCATCAGCTTTTCTCCGTCCACTGCTGGACATAGGCCTCCCCCATAGAACGCCACAATGCGCGGTCCTGCGCTATCCGCATCCAGCGGCTCCCAGCACATTTGACGATGTCGTTAGTCCACCTTGTTGGAGCCTCACGATGCGTCGTCCGGTACGTGGTCGCCACTCGAGGACCTTTCTTACCCAACGGTTGTCAGATCCTCGAGCGATGTGGCCTGCGCATTGCCACTTCAGCGTGCTAACTCTTCGGGCTATGTCGTACACACCGGCCCTTCTACGGATCTCCGTATTTCGGATCTTATCACTTAGGGAAACACCGAGCATAGCTCTCTCCATAGCACGCTGCGCGACTCAGAGTTTTGTTATGAGACCGACATTCAGAGACTACCACGGACGCCACTCATTAAATGAAACAAGATTCAGCAGTATAGATGCACGGATTTATTTATTTATTATTATTATTAATTATTTTATTTCGACCAAACAAGGATCATAATCATTACATTAAATATTCATATATTTATTACGATTAATTTCAAAATTATGTCACTGCAGAATGTCATAGATATTATAGTAATTGCAAATTATTGTCACTGGACGCCAGGTCACTAATATAATATGTCACTTAATATAATCGCAATGCACTGTCAATCCTGTCACTGGTAATACTTTCCTAAACCACGTACACGTATTTTCGCGAAACCGAAAATCTAGAAAAGTTCTCTCGAAGGACCAAATTGTAAGGGCCGTTACTAGGACCCTAATGACTGTCAATATGTCAATTAGTCACGGGACGATTTGTCAGGAGATAATTTTTAAAATACGTCAATATGATGTGAATGCCTTTATTGCACTGTCATATAATGTAAAATATTGTTCTTAGACCAATTTTATTAGTGGGTCAACTGTGTCAGCAGTTTAGAATGCATCGACTCGGAATGCAAACTTAATAAAATATATTTAAAATGGCTTGTACAATATTTATGACGTTTTGCGTCCGTTCCAGGCTGCGTCATCAGAATTATGGATGGATTTATTGATGATTTTTTTATTTCCTATATTTCCTTGCATAAATCTACGGTGTCAACATCGTGTGTGGGTGGTTTTATATTCGGATTTCCCGCGAAGACCGGTGGCAAATTAAATCGGCCAACATTATAGTGCGACAAAAAGCGCACAAATTGATTCGAAGTAACAAATTGCTCGCGACGCAATGCCATCGCCGGCCTTATTACGTAGCAACTGTGTGTTTTATAGATAACATGTTAAATAAAACATAAAATGAGTTTCAACAGTATATATGCACTGATTTATTTATTTATTGACGTTTTTTATCCTTTTCAGGATGTATCGTCTGAATTATGAAGCGTCCTCATAAGGATGCGAAACGTCAATAAATAAATCAGTGCATGTATACCGTTGAGACTTGTTTTATTTAAAGAGTGGTGTGCGTGAAAACCTAAGAAACAATTAATATAACGTCTTAGTTGAAAATATTACTTATATTTGTTGCTAAAAGAAGTATTATTAGTCGCTTTCAGTATTCTTAGATTTTTTTGTTGTTGAAAAAATTAGTATTTTTTAGTTGGTAAAGTAGGTATTTTATTTTGTGTATTATTAGGTTTTCACGCACGCCACTCATTAAAATACGCTTGATGCGTCGTTTTTTATTTTTTTGACGTTTTGGCGCATTTGTACCCATCTTAGGGTGTTTTATTTAATGTGTTTGATTTAATAATTTAATAATAAAGTAGTTTTATATTATAGAGCATTAGCACTTTAAAGTCTCATATTTCGCAAACGGATCCCTAAATCGAAAAATAATTTTAGTAACTCCTAAGTAATTCTTAAAGAACTATTTAATGATACCCCACACAGTGGGATAGACGGTAAAAAAAAATCCCTAGGTACCCTAAAAAAAAATTTTATTAAATTTTATTCTACTTCTTCGTCGGCGTGATTGATATACATACCTCCACAAAATTACAGCTCTCTTGTGACGGACAGGCAGACAGACGGACATGACTAACAAATAGTATTTACTTATAGACCAAAATTAAGGTGGCAAAAAGCGATACAATTACGATCCCGCTAAATCTCTACGTAATAGCACCGTCATCCATCAAAGCGATATTACTTTTGAACGCGAGTAATAATAACCCGCTAGGGCTTGCAAGTTTTTACCGAATAACCCGCGAGTTTTTACCGAAAACACCTCGATTTGCCAATGACACTGAGCGAATAAACCCGAATGTCAGTCGAGTAATTTTAATGTGTACGGAACGGTAATTTTGTTTTTGTAGAAATCGTATTCGTGTTGATATATTCGAGGGGGAGGTACGGAGTCTGTATGAAATGGAGCGTTTACGACCACACTCAGAGAGGACGATTAAATTTAATTCGTGGCAGACTCAACTTTAGCCAAAGTTAAAAATAATTGACTTTGATGAGTTGAGGAAATTAGTTTGAGAAAGCCACTTCCACCTCACAGAAGACTGTTGTCAAAAATCTACCTATTTTTATTGTCTCTACGATTTCTGCAATGCATTGGAAGTACCAAATAATGGTGGAATCATCTTTGGACTTTTACATACGAGTATTTTGTCGAGGTCTTTTAAGGAGCATATTTCTTTTTTCTATCACATTTGCTTAAAAAGACTCAATCTCCGTTTACAGACCCAAAATTGCATTTTAAGCCCGAGGGACTTTGATTTGAATTAGGATTGTGGATATTGGTGGTAAAAGTTCAAAGTTCAAATCACCAAAGAGATCAATCACGAACGTCTTATGAACAAGTCACAGGCTGTATAAAAAATAACCGCACGTTTGTCAAATAAAAAAGAAGTTGGTAAAAAAAAGTGAAATGCATTCCGCCTTCCTTCATACTTGTTAATTGAAATTCGGATATGATTTGGTTTTAGAAAAAAAAATGTGTCTTCCTCGAATAGTAAAAATTATAGTATCATAATTATCTTCCGAGAACATTGTATTGGGCACCTTATTAGATTAATTACCTTATTGACGACCTCCGTGGCCGAGTGGTTTGTACGCCGGGTTTCATGGTGTCGCCGACTCAAGAGGTCGGGTTCGAATCCAGGTGGGGGCAGATGTTTGTGTGATGAATACGAGCATTTGTACTCCAGTCATGGATGTTTAATATGTATTTCTATATAAATATACTTATATATGTACCGTATATGTATTCTATCCGTTACCCTAGCATCCCATAACACAAGCCTTACAGTGCTTACTTTGGGGCTAGGCTAATTGGTGTGAGTGTTGGTAATATTTATTATTTATTTTATTTATTTTTTCATAGAGAGTGATAAAAAGTAACGTGTCCACCTTGGGAGTGACATTATCTTTAAGCTTGAGCTACGCAGCTACGTGTACTACGTTAAATCCCTAGGTGCGCTCAGGATTAATAAACCGGCCAAGTAGGTGTCGTGCCACGCGCAATGTAGACCTGTTTTTACCACAAAATATCCCAGAAGAAGTACATGCAATTACTTTCATCTAAGTGACTTTGAATGTTTTCTTCTAATGCATTTTTATTATGATTTTTATTTTTTATATATGATTATTATATATATTATTTTATTGTAAAAAAAAAATTTTTTTTGCTACTTTTTAGAGTTCATGTCATTATTATTAAAATATTAATGTGGTCAATAATTCAATGTACCATGTCTTTTAGCACGGAGAACGGGATTTTCTAATACACGTATATATTTACTTAAAAGAAATTCTCAATCGCAATACTGTACCGGAAATTATTGTATCAAATAAAGAATTTGTATTTGTATAGCTAAAAATGCATAAGTTGAAAGACTCTTACTTAATACTTCTACTACTTAATCTCCCTGAACTATCTTAACCGTAATAATTATCCTTAAAAGTTCACAATTATCATGATTCTTTTCAGATATTTCAAGCAAATAATTAAGTTTTAGAGGTGGTAACGCCGTACGCGCACAAAAAAATCACTTCAAAGATTAAAATGTTGCAATGAATAGAAAACTAGCCTTATCAAACCGTAAGTCATTTTAAAGAACCAATTCTACGGCCACCCCATACGATGAGGTAGGATGAAAAAAAATATATTTCATTTTATATTCCCCACACTCAACACAAAATTTAAAAAAAAATCTAATACTTTGTCGGCGTAATTGATTATACATGTCTCCCCAAAATTAGATCTCTCTAGTGCTAACAGATTCTAAGCAAAACCACGGACATGACGAAACTATAAAGGTTCGGAAACGCTCTCGCCTTTGAAATATTTATTTGTTCCCGAATGATTTTCTGCGAGTTGAGATTAAATAATTTTAATTAACATTGTTTTTGGGTGAGAAAAGTTACAATAAGATTTTTACCTTACAGCCTTCACACGTGAACGCTCCAAAGTGAAATCCGGCAGCTGGCTCTCCGCAGACTTTACATTGTTGATTCATCTGTAACAAGAAAAGAATAAACTAAAGAAAAGTTTACTAGAAAAAAAATCCACGCGGACCAGGCAGCGGACGGGACTCGAGCCCGCACCCTTCGCAATCCGGGCGAATGCACTGACAATTATGCTACCACGGCCCTATTGGCCGCGTCGAAATTTTCCTAGCCTTAACCTGCAAGGCAGCGCCATCTCTTCGCATTGTAGGTATCCCACAATGGTAAATGAATACTTTTTCAAGTATTAAACATTTGAAAGAAGAAATAGCAATTATAGTTATGTTTTTATTTATTTTTAAGCATTTAACTGCAAGATGTTTAAATCCAAAGAAAATCTGCCTGGTCCGCGTGGTTTTTTTTTTCTAGTAAACTTTTCTTTAGATTTAAACATCTAGCAGTTAAATGCTTAAGAATAAATAAAAACATAAGAAAAGAATATAAAAAATGGTCTACACTCGATCGCAAAGAAATCGGATCACCCGATTATCTTAGAACTTTGTATCGAAGGCGTTTCATAATTATTAAAATTTTATTCCAAACTACTGTGAACTTACTGTGTAATCAAGCAAGAAACACAATGCTAACGACTTGCTAATTTTGTAAAATTAAGATAAACAAATAAATATTTCCAACACTCACACCAATTAGCCTAGCCCCAAAGTAAGCACTGTAAGGCTTGTGTTACGGAATACTAGGGTAACGGATAGAAGACTTATATAAGCAGATTTATATAGAAATACATATTAAACATCCATGACTGGAGAACAAATGCTCGTATTCATCACACAAACATCTGCCCCCACCGGGATTCGAAGCCGGGACCTCTCGAGTCAGCGCCGCCATTAAACCTGGCGTATAAACCACTCGGCCACGGAGGTCAAGAGATACTTATTAACTTTTCTTTAGTTTTTGTCCATGGTTTTCGTGGTCGTGTGTTTTTGTAACGCAACAACAACGTAATACTATTGGAAAACTACTCCTCATTGTAAAATACTCAATTAAAACTTAAAAAAACGATAAATCTTAATAAATTTAATCTAAACGCACTTTCTCTAGGTATAACTTTGATGGTTGTAAGATTTATACTGTAATTTTATTTTGCTGTTTTGAGAAATTCAAATTAGAGTTCCGAGGTAGCAAGTGACACGATTTATTTGCTTTTCAGTGTATTACGAAAAGAATTTGAAAAGTATAGAACTTTTCGTTTTTCAGCGTTACTCCGTCACTTAACCTCAGGTGAGATGGAGTCATTTGTCGAACTTATGTAAAAAAAAAATTAAAAATAAAACACTTGGTTAACGATATCTGCAAACTTGATTTGATAAAAATAAGTATTTTTTTTTAAATTAAAATTACCGGCTGCGATGAAAAAAATATTTGAATATGTTATTTAGTTATATTTATAATTTAGATTTATGATAAATACTAGCTGACTCGGCGAACTTCGTACCGCCCAAAAGTAATAATTTGCAATAAATTAAAATTGCGACTATAATTTGAGATTTAAACTATCCTATCTCTCAAGTTGGATCGAACTGCACATGGTGTGCGAATTTTATTATAATCGGTTCAGTGGTTTAGTAGTCCATTGAGGACAAACATTGTGACACGAGATTTATATATATTATTAAGATGAGATGATGAATAAACTGTCAAAATCTATTTCGTGTTAATAATAGTTTTGATATGAAACTAATCTTTCGTAATAGATTACTGACGACATTGAATCACTTTTGATTGGATGTTTTGGTTATCGTATGCTATTAAATCATAATTCATAATCAAAATTGTCTAATACATTAATCATAATATAATCATTATGAAAAAAATATTTAAAACGTGATAACCTCCATATTTAACAACTTCTTGGCAAACGTTGTACAAATGAACGGGTGCTGCCAGCGGAGATGAGTCTGCTCTTGCTACATTGGGTACTATTAATCGTTGTATTTAACTTTAATGGTACATTTGTTTTTATGCCTAAACAGTGGGACACGGCCTTCCTAAACTTTTTTTCATCTTTAAATCTGTTTTTTATATTTTTTATTTTATAGTCATAATTGTTTTATCATTTACATTTGTAATGGAAAGTGACTTCATGGGTTATCTCATATTGAACTCATTTTTCAAATTGACGACTCTGTATATAATACAGGGAGAAAAAAACAGCCCTTGCTGAGTTTCTTGCCGGTTCTTCTCAGTACAAGGTCTCCCGCCGTAGATTTGCGAACCGATGGCGTAGCTTTTCGACATTCACAAGTGCTTGTAACAGCCTAGACTGAATAAATGATATTGAATTTTGAATTTTGAAATATTTGAGAAGTTTTATTGGAAATGTTATTATTTGTAAAGTTCTCTTGCTAATTTCAATTTTCCAAAAGCCCGTTGTTAGTGGAAGAAATCAGGTCATCATCATCATCATCAGCCTATTAATGTCCCCACTGCTGTGGTACAGGCCTTCCCTATGGAATAGGGAGATCGGGCCATGACCCACCTCGCGGGCCCAGTGCGGGTTGGCGGGTGCTAACGACTGAAGATGCAGCCGGGACGAACGGCTTAACGTGCCTTCCGAAGCACGGAAGAACTCGAGATAGAAGATTTTTAGTCACCCATCCAATGACCGATCATTGCGAAAGTTGCTTAAATTCAACGATCGCAGCGGAACGCGCTATCCACTTGCGCCATCTAGCTCCTCAGAAATCAGGTGAATGCTATAAAATGCAGGTTTGTTTATGAAATTTCAAAACATTATAAGAAAAATCAGTATTTTATAGGAAATAAAGTTTTGTAGAAATGAACTGTTAGGTACTATGCGACACGTAAAAAATCCTATCTTTAATTTTCAACCTGCAGCACACGTTGTCGTATATATGCATAATATTTCATCTCTAATAATAATAATAATAATTTATTTAAATCTAAAGAAAAGTTTACTAGAAAAAAATCCACGCGGACCAGGCAGCGGACGGGACTCGAACCCGCACCCTTCGCAATCCGGGCGAATGCACTGACCATTATGCTACCACGGCCCTATTAGCCGCGTCGAAATTTTCCTAGCCTGCAAGGCAGCGCCATTTCTTCGCACTGTAGGTAACCCACAATGTCAAATGAATACTTTTTCAAGTATTAAACATTTGAAAGAAGAAATAATATAATATAATAAATATGGTCAAGCATAATGGTCAGTGCATTCGCCCGGATTGCGAAGGGTGCGGGTTCGAGTCCCGTCCGCTGCCTGGTCCGCGTGGATTTTTTTTCTAGTAAACTTTTCTTTAGATTTAAACATCTAGCAGTTAAATGCTCAAAATAAAATAAAAACATAACAATAATTTATTTGCCAAAATACAGTTTACAAGTTGATAAATTTTATGGAAGTAAGTACATGTATTCTACCTGCAGGCAGGAGTGCAAATATTGCAGTCAGCTATTTTGTCATCTGTCATATATTCCTTAATACTGTAATAACATTTTTTTTGTAACCATTTTGTCAACTTACTTTGTCCCAGTTTCTAATTTTATATTGTCGGGTAATTTATTATATATACATATTAACACGTTATAAGCATTAACTTTATAAATATATGCGTAATGATATATTTATAACTAGCTGACCCAGCGAACTTCGTACCGCCCTAAAAAAATAGGGGTTGTCCAGCGGACAAAATTGTGAATCTAAACCATTCTCAGATCCCCTTGAACACACACAAAAAATTTCATCAAAATCGGTCCAGTCGTTTGAGAGAAGTTCAGTGATATACACACTCACAGAAGAATTATATATATAAAGATATATCATTACGTATTCTATTCAAAAGTACCAACATCACGAATACACATGCAACAAGATCAAATTTAATAATGAAGTCACATCGTCGAGTGATTTCGAATCGAGTTCGGAATGACACCACTGAATTGATTTAATAATAAAAACCAGAAGACATTCGAGTGCTTTGATAATAGAGTGGTCATTGAATTGACGAAAAATTTGATGCATGCTTCCAAGAAAAAAAATACTAAACTAACATCGGTAGTCACGATGTAACATAAAGAGTGGTCTACACTCACGTTTCTTACCTAACGCGTATAAGCTACTAACTGACCTGGGGGCCAATTGCCTAAATTTATTGCTATGGCTATCGCTATCGCTTACGTTTTCATTTTATTATTTCTGACTGCTGAAGGTTTACTGAAGGCTGAAGCAAATACCTCACGATAATTTTCTTCAATATTGTTATTACCAACGCAAAAGAAAAAATAAGAGCGCGAGGCATTTGAAAATCTCCGGCGGTCAGAAATAACAAAATGAAATCGTAAGCGATAGCGATAGCCATAGCAATTCTGTTAGACGATTAGCACCCTGGCGAACATCGTGTCGCCTAACAATCGACGAATAAGGTTATCTTTAAACTTATAAGTTTTAAACTTAGTGAAATTAATGATTTTACAACCGCAACAAAACAAGTAAAATTTTCTGGATAATGGATAATAGAGAAAATGATATTCCAATATCGTGTATTTCAATGGAATATCAGCAAAATTGTATACGGGGTTAATTGGTTGCCAGGTATTTACCCAAAATTTTCTAAATCCAGCCATCCCTTAACCTGAACTTAAGACTTCCTAAGAAATTATGAATGGTTCTATATTTTTGTAAATAAAACCAAATGGAGTAAAGTTTACCTAACCATCCCTTAACCTGAACTTAAGAATTCCTAAGAAATTAGGAATGGTCCTATATTAAAAAAAACAACAGATGAAGTAAAGTGTATGTCGTATTGAAATGAAAACTGTGATATGGATACTTAAGTACAGTCTTGTAGTTATATCCATCGTTTCCTTACCAAATCCATCCATCCCTAGCAGCCAATAATGTTGTTTTTTTGTGTGTGAATGCTGTTGGTCGCAGATGACCTTTTGACCTTTACAGCGTCACCGGGTTTGGGGAGGGCGAGCTTAAGGCTTAGGCTTAAGGAGACCTCAAGCCGAGAATTGGCGAGTGCCTTTAGAG